GGGGGGGGGGGGGGAATGCTGCCGCTGATGGGATTTTGCTGCAATTTTCTTCTTCTGACGAATGTAAACGAGTGGGTGAATTATGAATACATGTTCAGATGAGGCTACATGTATGCTGGAAATTTTTTCAAAATCATTACCATAGAAATAGTATGGATCCTCATTGGAAACAGTAGCATGGCAATGGCATAGCCTGAACTATGGATTTAGTGATGCAATTGCAAAATCCACAGTAAGGATTTCACTATTTTTTCCAGTGATACTCAGAACATTCATAACTTATCTGCTCATTCACATGGATCAGAAGAAACACAGCGAAAATAACAAGTGTAAACAGGCCTTAAACTAGCCTGCTCACAGACGTTGTTGTTCTTACGCCAAGCGACAGTAGGTTTTCGTCGCTTGGCGTAAGAACAATGTTTGTGAGCAGGCTAGCCTTGAACAGGTTAGTGTCATAGTTACACAAACAGCAAAATTTTTAACTCTTTGTTTGTTTTTGAGAAAGGCCAGTCACCAAAGCAGTGATTTTTCTAGCCTGCATGGCAGGCGGTATTTCTGCGGGCAGCGAAAATTAGGGAAGCAAAGGAAATACCGTCTGCCGCAAAACTAGGGGTTTTTGAATTACCCGTCCGCTGGTGAACGGGAAAAACGGATTGGTTAGTATTTTTATGTAGTTGTCAATCAACGGCTAAATTCGGTTAAATGTTAATCATTAACCAAATGTTTTGACGTTTTGAAACTCTGCGTTTTGAAAGTAGTTCACGTCAAGTCAGACCAGAAATGGAATAACATAATAAAAGAAGCAAATTAAAAGATACAAGCTGAAAAATAACACTCTAAATAGTGTTATTGATAGAGATTCGAACAAGAATATTTAACAAAGAAGATACGTCCGAAGGGGCCGAAGTTATGATCGGCGAAAGGTATGGGCTAGTCTATATTTTCGTTCCGACAATTACATGCGTATTAATTTGATAATATACTATCTCGCTTGACTTTCAAAGGCCATAAATCGCAATAATGTTGACATTTTACTAAAACTATCGATAGAAATTAGGAGATATTTCTTCACTGAATCGAACAGTGGGATTTCCATATAGGCCTATCAGTCATGTTCTGAACCAAAGATACTTGATAGATATTATATACGAACCTCCAAAGTATGAAACTGTTAAACTCTTATATACCCGTTGAATATGTATAGTTGTAAACAAATAAAAACTATCGTTCTATAAGGTTCAATACTTTTAGTTTGGTTGTTGACTGATGATGAATCTATAGTATAGACTTGCATGCTTTGTATTTTGAGCTTATTAAACCACCGTTTTAAGGCAGCTAAACGGGCTTGGTTTATATTAACACATAAAATAAATTCCTTAATTCTCATCACTAGACACAGTCTACACTTTGAAATGTCAAAGACAGTGGGAGATTTATTTTTTATATTTATATAATTTATATATCAATAGTTCGTATCTCCACGAACAATGACACAATGACTGAGTTTCTTTAAAATACAATGAAATTTCACTCAAAATTCTGTTTGTTTCAAATTGGAAGTTTAAAATGGCAATAAAAACTCTATATAAAATATGAAAAAATTAACTGTCTTGAATTATTTTGTCGGGCGGTACATTTATATTGTATAACGAAAAATAAAACGTTTTCACGAGGATTTTAAAATTCAGTCGGCAATGATGAGAATAAAGGAATTTATTTTATGTTGGGCAGTTGGGACTTGGGAGCAGCTTGGGAGTGGCTAATTTTGGGTAGTTCCTCGGGTAGAGGAGAAGTGATCACGTGATCGGCTAGTTGTGTTGTTTGTGGCGTCAGATATAACCAAATCCCTATCTCTAAGCCTAATCCTTACCCTAACCCTCACCCTAACCCTAACCCTTACCCTTACCCTAACCTCAAAACTAATCGCTATAACTAACTGATGACGTAGTCTGTGATGCAAATTCTTCTACCCGAGGATGTATCCCTAATTTTGAATATTTACTTAATTAATGCATCTATAAATAGCGTTGATGCTTCAGGGGCGGTAGTTCACTTACACCCAGTTTTGCGGCAGGCGGTATTTCCTACGTACCGCCTGCCATGCAGGCTATGATTCTTCCAAAATGCAACATACGATTTTAGTGCTTCATTCTGAGAGAG